GGCATCTTAGGCTATCTCGAGCCATCTTGGAAGTCATCTTGGATTATCCGAGGCGCTCATGGGGCCATCCTGGGCCATCTTGGACACTCTGACCGCTCGCGACCGGGCCCGTCCAGGTCCAGGGGAGGGGGTTAGGGGGAGGGGTAAACCCTCCCCGAAGGGGAAGAAGGGAAGATGGAAGAGGAAACTCCCTAAACCACCTACGCCCAGAGGGCTGGTGGAATTATACCACAAACCCGTGTTTGTGCGACCTCACGCAGTGTCGCGCCGCGCCAGTAGGCGCGGCGCGACGTGACAGACCCCCGGGCAATCTGTCCATTTCTTCCCATGCGTCCTCGTCTTCATCGAATGACATGCTCTTCTCCCTTCCGCTGCGCGCTCGCCGCCTGGCCCCCCTCTACGCACAACGCAATGTACCAAGACGTGGAAGTGAAGCGCAGCGAGCTTCAAGTCTTGTATATATATATATATATATATATATATATATAATTCCCCAATCAGAGCTTGCCTCTGTAGGGGTCCTAGCGGATTCATATGGTTAGGTTCGGCTTGTCGCCGATTTTCGCGGCACGTCCGGGTGCCCGGGTGCACGGGGGTGCCCGGGTGCCCGGGGGTGCCCCGTGCCCGGGTGCCCGGGTGTCCGCGGGTGCCCGGGCGTGCCTGGGGGTGCCCTGATGCCCGGGTGCCCGGGTGCCCGGGTGCCCGGGCGTGCCCGGGCGTGCCTGGGGGCGCCCGGGGGTGCCCTATAGCCCAATAGCCCACAATAGCCCTATAGCCCTACAACTCTATAGACCTATAGCTCTATAGCCCTATAGCTCAATATTTAAAAGGGCAGGTTAAGTTTGCCGCCGATTTTCGCGGCACGCCCGGGTGCCCGGGAGCCCGGGGGTGCCCGGGTGCTCGGGGGTGCCCGGGGGTGCCCGCGGGTGCCCTGGTGCCCTGCCCGCGGGTGCCCGGGCGTGCCTGGGGGTGCCCGGGTGCCCGGGCGTGCCCGGGGGTGCCTGGGCGTGCCCGGGGGTGCCCTATAGCCCTACAGCCCAATACCCTACAGCTCTATAAGCCTATAGCTCTATAGCCCTATAGCTCAATATTCACAAGGTTAGGTTAGGTTTGCCGCCGATTTTCGCTGCACGCACGCCCGGGTGCCCGGGAGCCCAGGGGTGCCCGCGGGTGCCCGGGGGTGCCCGGGGGTGCCCGGGTGCCCGGGCGTGCCCGGGTATGCCTGGGGGTGCCCAGGGGTGCCCTATAGCCCAATAGCCCTATAGCCCTTCAAGTCTATAGACCTATAGCCCTATAGCTCAATAGCCCTATAGCCCTAAATATAGATGCCTAGCCCTATAGCCCTGATTGGGTTTTTCTCTGGTTTCACATATATATATATATATGTATATATATACATATTCCCCAATCAGAGCTTGCCTCTGTAGGGGTCCTAGCGGATTCATATGGTTAGTTTAGGTTTGCCGCCGATTTTCGCGGCACGCCCTGGTGCCCGGGCGTGCCCCGGCGCGCCGGGGGGTGCCCAGGTGCCCGCCAGGTAGCCCCATAGCCTTATAACCCTAGATCCCTATAGGCTTATAGCCCTATAGCCCTATAGCCCCAATAGTGCTATAACCCTATCGCCCTAATAGCTCCATAGCTTTATACCCTTCTAACCATATAGCCCTATGGCCCTATAGCCCTATAGCTCTCTGGCCCTCTAGCCCTTTAGCCCCATAGCCTTATAGCATTAAAAAGATTATGATTGGTTTTCTTTGGTAATCTATATATATATATATACAGCACAATGTCTTGCAACACGGAATTCCCAAACAATTTGCGCGCGTTTTTGCGAATTGTTAAGAAAACCATAGGTTGTTCAACATGTTCATGGGATTCTGCCAAGCGGGCTTCGCGCGCGCATGTCGAGCTCCCTTGCGCGCGTGCAGGGGTGGCACGATCCGTGTCAAATAACATCATGGGTGCCACTCTCGCGCGTCTGCCGCGCGCATTTCGAATTCCTTCCAGAACCTTCATCACCGTCGCGAAAACGCCGCCAACGTTTGCCACGATACCGCGCCCGCCCAAGTCGCCGATTCGCATTGAATTGCCAGCTGGGATGAGCCCAGCGGTCAGCGCCACCGCGTTCGCGTCGGTCGCGCCAAACCAGCTGGCCGCTGCGCGCACGAGCGTTCGCGGGCTAGCGCGGCCGCAGAAATGCACCAGCCAACACACTCATCGCAATCGCTTCCGGATGGGTTTTGCAAACCAAGTTGCGGGTGGGTGGGTGTATTGATTGCGCGAGCAGTGGAGTTGACAATTTCAAGTTCGACAAGTGAGTTGCACCACCTAGGTTGCGCCATACATATGTATATATATATATTTACATATATATATATATATGTATGTAGATAGTTTGACATATATATATATATGTACATATATATATATATATACATTGCACCGCAGAGGCTGCGTTGCATCGGTTGCACCGCTTAGATTGCACCACGTAGATTTTCTTTTTGTTCTAAGAAAAGAAAAGACCCGACCCCCCCCCCGAGATTATCATGTGTCCTTTTCGTGTGCAATTTGCACATGATTTTGCCCCACCGTCCATCCGAAATATGAACCCGTACCAACCCAGCCCAAGCGGTATCGCCCCCCCCCCGCCGTCCTCTGCAACAAATGCTATGCGCGCGCATTCGTTGATCAACAATTATACGTTCTGAAGAATCCCTTGCAACAGATCGGACGAAGTGCGCACGCGCGCGTCGTCGCGCGCGCATGCCCAATCATTCAGAAACTCTTGGTTCCGTAAGGATGTCCGAATCGAGTGTCCAGAGAGTGTATAAAAGCACATGTTTATCGCAACGCTGATTCTCAAAAACAAACAACAAAGTGTGCTCGCCATCTCTGCGTTTTGTTTGAAAAACTATAGGTTTTCAGCATTTTCTGAAAGTGCTACCATACCGGCTTTGCGCGCGTTCATGTCGGAATCGTTCGAACATCCTTGCGCGCGTGCCGTCGCGAGAATCTTTTTGCAAGAACAAAAATGGCGAAGTGCACTCGCGCGCGTCGTCGCGCGCGCATGCCGAACTCCGTCTAAAACCTTCGTTGGCTTGGCGAATTTGGAACCAAGTGTCAAAAAAACATATACAACACATGGTTTCGCAACATGAGTTTTCAAAAAACATGCGTTCGCGTTTATGCGAATTCTTGGGGAACCATCGTTTTTCCACATGTTCATGGAATTCTGCCAAACGGGCCCCTGGCGCCGCATGCCGACATCATTCGCACGCCCTTGCGCGCGTGTTGGGGAGCTCGATCCGTGTCAAATCATACCATGCGGGCCACTCTCGCGCGTCAGCCGCGGGCACACGTCGAACTCTTTCCAATATTCTCATCACCGGCGCGAGGATGCTGTCATCGTCGCCCGCGAGATCAGCATCGGCGCCCGTCACAAGCATCACTACTATCATCATCGTGTCTACCGTTGACGTTGCCATGATGCCGCGCCCGCCCATGTCGACGACTCGCAGTGAAGTGCCCGCTGAGATGTGCCCAGCGCTGGGCGCCACCGCGGCCGCGTCGGTCGCGCCAACTAGCTGGCCGCTGCGCGCGCGTGCGCGGGCTAGCGCGGCCGCAGAGATGCACCAGCTAACGCCATGCATGCATGGCAATCGCCACCGGTCGGGTTTTGCAAACCCAGTTGCGGGTAGGTGGGTGGGATGTTTGCAAAAATATGGGATGACACAAACCACATATCTTGCAACACGTAGATTGCCGCACTCAGTTTGCACCGCGTGGACTGCACCACCAGCTAGATGGTACCGCGTAGATGGCACCGCCTAGATTGCATCGCGTAGGTCGAGTCGCATACACCACACAAGCTGCACCGCAGAGACGGCAAGAGCTTACTATTTGGGGCCCACGCTGGCTAACATGTTTTCGCGTGGATCACATCTGGCAGGCCCCTGTAGGCCCAAGGCAAAGGGCTCCTGGCCGGCGGGCTCCTTTAGGGCTGGCGCCGCCGAGAGGGTCGCCGCCCGGAGACCGCGGCCCGCGGGGGCCCCGTGCCGTGGCGGGCTGCCGCCGCAGCGGCCCAGGTCGGATTCGGTCGAAGGGGTCCTTTTGCAAAGGGGTGCTCGAGCCTGTGCGCAATGGTTCGTGCAAGCGTGCGGGATGCGCATGTCGCGCCATGATTCTCAGCACGTGGGTGGCCGCCACGCCTCCTGCGTCCCAGGATGAACTATGCATTGCATTTTGTCTTTGCGACCCCAATGCGAAAGACCCCCTCTGCCCGGAACCAACCAGGGCGGTCGCCAGGGCCGCGCCGAGCGAGCCACGCCCCTGCCAACAGGCTCGTTTTGGGGGGGCCTCACTGGGGCTCGGGGGAGGAGGAAAAGGTATGCGTACCCATACCTCTGCCCTTCGGCCGTGTTCCCCTTTTGGGGCCTCCTGGGCGGCTCTCGTCGCTACCGCTGGATGCGCCCCGAGATCCTGGTTGAACCTCCTGGGACGGCCTCGTCGCCACGGCCTGATTCGCTTCGAAATTCTGGTCAGAACCCTGGGAGAGGTCCGGGGAGTAGCGGTATCGGTACCTTTTGGTTTCCTGAGGGGCCCAGCGAATCTAGGCCTCCTGTATATGGGGTCCGAGTACATGGGGTCGGAGGATCGCGCCGCATCGACGATGCATCGGCAATGCGGCTCGATGTGGAGCCTGATTTTCTCCACGCCGACCGCGCCGACGCAACGGTGATGTCGCCGATGCATCACCGATACATTTGCGATGCGGTGCAATCCTCCGACCCCATCTACTCCGACCCCATCTAGGAGGCCTCTAGCTAACAAATGTGTTCGACTCTAGTTCGACTCTGTCTCGACTCGAGTTCGGCCAAGATTCGACTGAAGTTCGACTCAGGTTCGACTCAGGTTCGACTCTAGTCGAGGGACGTTCGACGCAGCTTCGACGCACGAGTGGAGCGAGTGGCTCCAGGAAGGCCCCCCCAAAATGAACATCGATGTCCCTTCCCGGAGAGAATCTGCACATGCAGATGTCCAGCGCAGCGGTGCAGAGTGCGGCAGACCGTGCGGAGGACTTTCGGTGTCAAAACAGTGGGAACCTTGTATGCCCTCGCACTGCCGTCTTCAGAGTGCATTAGCGTTGATTGCGCGTCTGGTGATCGATGAGATAGCGTCGATGAGTGTCGATTTCGCTTCGAGTGGCGTCGGTTAGTATAATGTCGGGCATGTCCTCCTACAGACGGAATTTTGAACAAACATGAAAATTTGCCAAAGCATCTTCAAACATAGTCAAACATAGTCCCCCTGATTATTTTTGACTGTGTTTCGGCACTCCTCCCGTAGAGGGACATGCCCGACTTCAGGTTAGTAGCGTCGACTCGCAAGAGCCAACCAGGTGGTATGTTGAGGCTCCCGCGAGTTGCCGCAGAAGAGGATCTCGAGGAGCTGATGGAGCACTGGGCCCGCCGCGAGGTGACGCTTTTCAAGCCCACGGGCTACGACACCTCGGAGACGGGGAGGCGAGAAGGAGGAGGAGGAGGAGGTCGGGGGCGGAAAAGAAGGGGGTGATGACTAGGGGGGGATATCATGGCGGGGGCCATGATATTTCCCCAGATCTCATGGCGCCGCTTCTTATTTCATTACGTCCCTGGCCCCCCCGCTGGGCCGCGCACATGCCGCCGGTCATGATTTGCACACCCCCTCTTGGACACCCCCCTCTTGGCCGCTCCCGAGGAGGAGGAGGAGGAGGAGGAGGAGGAGGAGGAGGGAGGAGGGAGGAGGAGGAGTAGGAGGAGGAGGAGGAGAGGAGGAGGAGGAGGAGGGAGGAGGAGGAGGAGGGAGGCTGCGCAGCGGCCTGAAGCTTCGCCCGCAGCTGGTCCACGCCGTACAGTACCTACGGCACCTGGTCTCCCAGCACGACTGCGCTAGCGGCCTGCCGGCGGCGCTGACCCTGCTCGACGCGCTGCAGTGCGCGAGGGCCGCGGCGGACGCGAGCTGCCCGCTCGCGGCACAGTTGCTGGA